GTTGTCAAGCGAGACATTTCTGAAGTGAACTAACCATAATGATGATGATGATAACAGCAGCAACAAAGTTAGCAGGTGTCTATTTTTCTATGTTTAAACTCCTGGCAGGCTAACCAAAGCAGTGGCCATAGACTGTGAGATGGTGGGCGTAGGGCCCACCGGCGAAGACAGCATCCTGGCCCGTGTCTCGGTTGTGAATGTATTCGGCAAATGTCTGTATGACAAGTATGTCAAGCCTTCAGAAAACGTGACAGACTACAGAACCGCAGTTAGTGGGATTCGGCCTGAGCACTTAAAATCAGGTAAGGAAGCTGGCTGGTGGTAGCTTCAACGTTTATGTCTGGGTTAACTGAACCTAGCTAAATCCAACTGCGGTTCATCGGGCATCTAGCATTGTTTTCCTGTTGCCTTAAGCCACAGTTTTTTTAAACATGGTTTGTGGAATAAGGCTTTGCGGGGTTAGGTGCTTGCACCCTGCTCAGTGACAATTTGGCTTGTTATGGCTGAGGATTGTAGCCATAACAGGATTATTGTTAACCGCAATCATTTTTTAAAAACACCCTTGCAGTACAATTTCCAGGCTTGCAATTCAGTTCATCTCAGAATTATTTTAATGATTGTAATCAATTTGGCTTTAATTTCTAGGAGTCTTTGATTTGTCTTCCTTTTTAATGTGGATAAACCATGGTTTCTCTCTTCTTCCTGAAAGAACTCTTTAACAAAACTGGTGGCCTCGTTCCAAAAGACTTTCACAACTTTTCACGGTATAAATTCACTAAATTAAAAAAAAATTCTCTGCAACGTTGTGGTTTTTTTTTTTAATTTTAGGGGAGGATTTCAAAACCGTCCAGAAAGAAGTAGCTGATATCCTAAGGGGTAGGATCTTAGTTGGACATGCTCTACACAACGACTTAAAGGTACTGTAGTTATAAACTTTACGTGCCTTCGTTTCAGAATGTGGTTTCCATAGTCTAGCTTGTTTTTCTGAGTGTAGCTTTTTTTTATCTTCCTCACTTGCCCGAAGAAAGATGGATGGGTGGGTGGAGAGATGGATTAGATAGATACATAAGATAAGATAAGATAAGATAAGATAAGGTAGATGGTAGATAGAAAACATAACCTCTCTGTGTGTGTGTGAACATTTTGGAAGCCCGAGCAGTCATTCCAATGGCTCTTTTTTTTGTTTGTTTGTTTTAATTTTCCAGATTCTACTTCTTGACCACCCCAAAAAGAAAATCCGAGACACACAAAGATACAAACCTTTCAAACATCAGGTCAAGGTGAGAGGAGACCCTTTTTATGCCTTCAAGGGGACAGATTCTATACAGAGGCAACTGATGCCTTACAAGCTGTTTTTCACTCAGTTTTTATTTGCTCCCTTCACAACCGTGTTACTAATTGAGTAGCGGCAGAGGTTCACTCAACAGCTGTGGCGGGAACGGTGGCAGAATGAGGCCAAACGCACCTGGCCAATGTCTCGCTTAACCACAGAAGTTTGGGGCTCAGTTGTCGCAAGCCGGGGACTTACCAAGCGCGGGGAATTCAAGCGTTCGGGTTCTTCTCTCTGATCAGTGCTTCCCTGTTTCCTCAGAGCGTGAGACCCTCCCTCAAACTTCTGTGCGAGAAACTGCTCAACGTGAAGGTGCAAACATCGGAACACAGTTCGGTAAGTGATTGGAACCCAGGCCCCAGGGAATAGACCCGGGAGGCTAACAGAACAATGGGGGAAAGGGTGCTGCCCCATTGACACCAGGGGGTCTCACTTCTACAGGAGTTTTTAGAAACAGAGGCGAGGTTTGTACCCCGTTTCCCCCCAAAATACAACCTACCCTGAAAGTAAGCCCTAGCTTGATTTTTACATGTGCGCCCAATATAAGCCCTACCCCTAAAATAAGCCTAATTAAGATCCTGCCAACTCAAGAGTGGACGGGTAAAAATTAAGCTAGGGTGGCGATGGGGTGGGGGTCAGAGCTGCCCTTCTACTTACCTTTGGACAGTTGTAGCCAGGCCTCGCGCACCCCGACACCTGCTTTGCTGGCCCATTTCTTCTGCTGCCAGCAAGGCTGTCAAGAGCTTCCTGAAGGCCTCTGTAGTTGATAACAAAGCTCTGGATCGATCCAGAGCTCTCTTATCCGCTGCAGAGGCCTTCAGGAAAGCCTTAGAAGTTGTTTCCGAAGGCCTGTGAAAGCGAAAAGGAGGCCGGGGATGACACATGCAAGTGAGGTTAGTCGGTGGGTGGCATCCCTTGAAAATAAGACTGCAGCAAAAGTTCTGCGTTTTCACCCGCTTGCTTCTCTCTCTCAGGTCCAAGACGCTCAGGCGGCCATGCGACTTTACACTTTGGTGAAAAAACAGTGGGAAGCCTCCCTGAAAGAAATCCCCAAGGCCAAGAAAAATTAAATCCAGACCGTTCTCACGTCCGGCGGCGTTTGCGGCCAGTCTGCAGCGCTAGCTGATCGGAAAGTTTTGCCCGATCAGTTCTGCAGCTGTTCCTTTGGTCCCTAAATTTGGGTGTCAGAGAAAAAATAATTGGGGGAAAAAATAATTTACTTCATCAGAAGATGAAGCTTTTCTATTCAGTCAGTCGCAGATTTGGGGTATTGCTGAATTGACCTTCTTCTGACTTTAAGTCTCTGGCTGGGGATCGGCTATTGGGCATTTAAAGAGGATCAAAACTGGAAAAAAAAATCTTTTAAACATCTCTGGGCCAGATACCGCGATCCCTAAATCTAGTCCAAAAACGTTTGCAAAATGGCCAACTTGGATTCCCCTTTTGGACCAACGTCGCTGTGCCAATTGGATTTCTCATCTGCCACTTGAATTATATTTATATATCCTTTTAAAACACTTGAGTTTTTAACTGCCCAAACTATGCTTTGGATAATAGCATTTAAGTGAAATAGCAGCCATCTTTTCTCCTTACCTGTCCTGCATTATGCAGATTATTTGGGAATTTTGTTGAGGTCCCAAAATTAGCAGTAATACAGCAGAGGAAAGCAGAGCCTCCCTCTCTGCTGTTTTCTGCTTAAATCTGTATGTACACGCCCTTCTCCAGCTACCCGGTTTAAAACAGATTTAAAGCTTTAAAACAGATTCATCCTTTTTTCCCTTTTTTGCTGTATTCCATGGATAGGATTTTCAACCCCCTGTTGAAAAAAACCGCATGTTTGCATCTCGTTTTCCTATTTATTTGTACAACTTTTTAAAGTTTTTAACAAAACGTAAGTTGGTTCCCATTTCGCAAATAAATTCCGAAGTTCCATAAAAGAAAGCAAGTTTTCCCTCCTGTTCATCTTGAAATAATGGATCGAGGAGGGATCCAAAGAAAACTCATCTATCAGGAATTGTGCGTTTTGAGAAGCCCTGTGGAGTGTAAAAATTGAGGAGAAGTTAACACTTTATTTTTTAAAAGGCACAGTTTTTAAAATACTCAGGCTTGCTTTTTTTTTTTAGCAAATAAAAACATTTTTATTTAATTAAATAAATTTAAAATAAAAATATTCACCTTTCTTCTGCAGTTTTGAGAGTGCCTTCTCGGATAGGGCAACAATTTCCTGGGGATAAATGCATACAACATTTGGGGCATCAGAAAGTGCAACTTCTGGTGTCTATGATCCAAAACACACTTGTAAATTTGCTTCACAACTGTTAAGTAAATAAACACTTTCCAATTTCATCTTCTCCCTTCTTGCTTACCCATCTTTTCCTGAGTTACTTTGGTCCCTTTTCTGGCGTCGATGACTAGGTGAGGCCAGACGGGATTTGAAATAAATCTCATTGCCCCGAGAAGAGTATTAATTCCTCCTCCTCCTTACCAAACTAGAAGTAAACCTGTCCTTCATTTCTAGCAGCATGTCTGTAATGCTCTGGGAGACCATCTCCATCACAATTTCATCTGCGATTTAAAAGAAATTAAAAAGGGGCTGGAATCATTTTGGCGTGGTTCACAGGGCTGGGCCGATGGAATTTTCTGCACAAAACGTATTACCGTATTTAAACATCTCGTCGATTAGGACGCACATGTTTTCCACCACTTCGGGATCCTCCCTGTGGATCTGGTAGCAATCTTTTAGCAGGATCAACCCGTTGCCCTTCTCATCCGTAACTATGAATCGGAAACCGGACAGCTCTAAAAAGGAAGGGATTTTATTAAATCACCGACTGATGGGTTTTTTTCCCCTGCTGACAATGCTAACTTTTCTGCAGCTTAAGTTCACTCCGTGTGCACATTATAGCATCCCAAATTGGAGATTTTCCTGCTTCTTAACCTCCAGCAAATCCTATTTAAGTAAGAAAGTAAGACAGTTGAGGCTGGCTATTTAGGGCTCGTATCCCTGAGCGTGGAAGTAATTTTGTGATTGCGGTTTTGTATGAGTTCTACCTCGTTTAAGCTGAGCATAAATCCTATCCGTTGTTTCTTCCCAAGCTATGTTTTCTAAATCTGATTTGAATTGAAATCTAATCAGGAATTAGAAGCCTTAAGGAATAGAGACTGATTGGTGGCCATACTTACGGATTCGGACCAAAAAAAGACTTAGAACAATAAGGCTTTTATAAAGATCAACAGGGACTGGATAAAATAGGAACTCTTACCAGACGTCCTGAGGAGGCTGGCCAAGGCGAGGCAAATGTTCTTTACCAAGATGGGGCTGTCAGGATGCTGCCTGAGCGCTTCGAGCAAAAGCAGAGAATAAGGCTCGTATTTGACTTCGTCTATGCACCCTGCAAGGGAAGCCAGAGAAAACGCTTCTGTGAGAAAATTCAGATGAAATCAATTGTTGTGTTTCCAGAACGGTGGTGCTGCTTGTCAAAGAAAAGAGAAAGCCATTTTTTAAAAAATGAAGTGGCCTCGTAGAAATCAATAGATAGTTTCTTCGACCTGAGACGAACCATCCTCAACGTACGGCCATCTGTTGCTGTTGTTTCTTTACGGCAGTTCGAAGTTACAACAGCCTTGTACTGTAGCAGCGTTCGCACCACCCCTGCGGTCACGGAATTGCAAAGGTGCCTACTGGGAGAAGCTGTCTTTGCTCAACTTGCTTCACAGACACACACATCCCCGTAAGAAATCGTCATAAAACTGAGTCCACCTTGACTTACGACCAGGGCGACTCACAGCCGAAATTCTGTTCCCGGACAATCCTCTCTCCCTTCTCGCTGGGGAAACTCACCATGAAGCGAAAGGGCCCAAAAGGCACTGCAGGCCGCCTCTGCGACTTCCACGTGGTGGAGATGCATGTGGAGGATTATGGAGACCAGCTCCGTGGCGTATTTCAGTGGGCTCTGGGCCACATCGGCCACTGGATTGACGAAAGAAGGGAACAACATTAGGCCGGACGTGCTAACTTGTTGTTCCCCCATCCAAAGTGGCCACAAACACCTGGGACAGCTGGGGAACAGCCTGTCCTAAGCCGAGGACCAGCCACGCCATCGGAGGCCTCTGCCGGCTTGTTTTCTACCCACCGCTCACAGCCAGGGTCCAAATGAGGCCGCAGCATGCAAGGCAGATCTCTTTGTTGTGAGCGAAAGAACACAAGATGGTCAAGATGTCTCTGAAAATGTTGGCTCCCCGGAGGGCTTCAGCCGCTGCTTCTAAAAAGAGAGAGGAAGGTGAAGAACAATGGCCCATCATCTGAGCCATGCTAGAATTCCCAGCCGGCGAGGCCACCAGGCTGAGCGAGCGTGCCTTACCGTTGGAAGACATCATCATAAACAAGGTGCAGATCATACAGAGCAGCTCTTCATGGTCCGGATGGGCCCTCATCGAGTTCAGCAGGCAGCTGAGGTGGTCCTGGTCAGCCAGCATCTCCACGTTCAAGTTCTGGGCAACAGCTGTCGTCAGAAGCATTTGGAAGTCAGCCCAGAAACACCTGGGCTGGTCCCACCTCTGCTTTCCAAGCCAAAGTATCTCCTTTGTGCCTTCTAAGGTTTGCAAAGGCGTGGAAGGAAGCGTTTACAGAGAAGGTGACAATAACACGCTAAACTACGAATCCGTTTTTTTCTAGATGTGACATCGGCATTAAAGAGGAGACCTCCAAGGCCCATTGTTGAATTAAGGAGCAATAAATAAACATTTTGGTAATCGTAGAGAAGTTAAATGGTTGCTGGTCATCTCACCTCTGCCCGTGATTCCGAGCAGCAACGAAAACCCAGCCAGCAGCGTCTCAAGAGAATCGTTGTGTTTATTCATGGCCTCGATCACCGGATCCATCAGGTGAAGGAACACCTTGACACCAACTGTGGGGGAAGAAACTGCAGTTGTTCACTTTCATTTTTTCGTGCCTAAAAAAATAACTTTCCTGCATTTTAGCACCAGAGTTGGGAGTTCTGGCTTTTTATTTCTCTTTGGAACCGGTTGGAAATCCTTAAGTCGGCATTTCCAAGATGGCTCCAGGCCGAGTCACCACCCGAGTGGTGACCCTGAGGATACAGACAAACCTCCCAGTGGCCTCAACGCCTCTCTAAAAGGATGCAAATGACCAGCTGCCTGCAAAGAGTGTCAGTCCTTCCCTTCCCCACCATCCAGTCAGAGCGGAAGAAACTTGTCGTACCTTTTCCCTCGTTCAACAGGCTGTTGAGACGTTCGATGCTCTTTGCTTGTGCTTCTTCGACCTCCGGGTAAGACATCATGAATTCTGCAGGAAATTCAAAATAAGAAAAGCAACTTTCCGTGCCATCCACCCTACAATCAGAAACAAAAATGTTCTATAGAAGCTGTCAGGTGTCCAATTTTGAATTCTCCGATGCGTTTGCGCAGGCGTGCAAGGAGTGGGATTCCTTCTGAAATCTTCATTAATCCTCAGAGGCATCGACGGGATATTTTGGTAAACAAACATTCAACCCAGGTGCTTTTATTACGAGGAATTCCCCTTGATTTCCACAGGACTTACTTCTGATTAAACTTGTTGAGGATTGCACTCTCGGTCCCATTCAGCTCGTCAAATCACTTGAGATATCATTATTTCTTAAGATTTCAAAAGAACCAACAAACACACAAAATTGGTAAGCTAAATTACTAACCAGGATTACCTAGAATTGTCTGGATCCTGTCAGTCTGAACGATGTCCAGGAAACCTGAAGGAAGTTTCCTTGTGACCTTTATTAGCGGGGATTTAGCTTCAATGAGGCACTCTCTGATATATGGATTTTCAACCAGTTCCCTAAAATTACAGGAAAAGAGGAGAAAAATGATTTTTCCTGAACCCAACTTGGCTGAAGAATGGAATCCTCGATGTACAACCAAAGTTACAAACAGAACTAAACGACCGTTTTTCAAAGTTACGATATTTGGCCACTGGCTCCTATTTACGACGGTTGTGGTATCACCTGGATTGTGGGATTCCCCTTTCTGAGACCTTCTAACCCCACAAAGTCTACAGGGGAAGCTAGATTTGTTTAACGACCGCGTGACTGACTTAACTAAGTTGTGAGGATTCACTTAAGGACCGTGGCACCTAAGGTCGTAAAATATGGCAAAACTCACTTAACTTCCTTGCTTAGCAAAAGACATTGTGGGCTCAGTGGTGCTCATAAAATGAGTTTTTATTTTTCTTGTGGTAGATAGGAGGCAGAACTAGGTTTTATCTAAATAATAATAATTAAGCCACCGTTTGCTTCGTCGTCACGAGTTGACTAGGTAACCCAATATATGCCCACTGAGGTCATTTAGAAACCAGAATAACTGAAGTGTCAATTCATAAAGTATTTCTGTGGTCTTTTTAAGAGTTGCCAACAGAAAGGGAGGAGGGAAAGGAGGAATTTCCTGACAGGGAGGATAATTAAGCAGTGGAATTGCTTGTCTCTTGAAATTGTGGGTGCTCCAACACCGGAAGTTTTTAAGAAGAGACTGGACGGCCATTTTGTCCAGGGTGGTATAGCTTGAACAGGGGGTTGGACTAGAAGACCTCCGAGGTCCCTTCCGACTCTATATCATTCTATATTCAAACTCCGCTGGGACTCACTCTGCCGTTGGCCTCTCAGAAGGATCGATTTTCAGCATTAGAAGGAGGACGGAAGACAACAAGGGCTGCCGTTGGCTCATGTCGCTCACAGCCTCCTCAAGAGCCCTGGCCTCCTTCTTAATGTCGTGCAGCAACAACGTAGGATCTTTCACCTGCAAAAAAGACACACCACGCGAGAGAGGTTCCTAAACGTGACACACAAGACCAGTAATCAATCCGCTGGCAGGTTCCCAGGGCAGCTAATCCTCGGCTTTACGACGGACCCCAGGGGACGATGCAACGGTCGTAAGGGTGAGGACCTTCCCAGCACCATCGTAGCTTTGAATGAATGGTTGTAAGGTCGAGGATCACCTGCGCTTAGCCAACTTCAGATTTTTCCCCCACGCGCACAAATTGAGCAGAGTCAAGTCTGCTAAATCGAAGGTTTGTCCAAATAGTAGAGATTGTCACTGAGCTTTTGAGAGCTGTACCCAAAACATCCTTTCCCAAAAGCATCCATCACATTTTCCATTTCAAAATCAGGCTGCTTTGAATCTTCCGTTACTTTTATCGCCCTTACCGTCCATCGCCTTTAGTTTGCAACCTTTTATAGGGCTCTAAACAGGAATGATATAACCTGTAGCTGTCGGCATTCCGACGAAACTCCCCATTTTCCATTCAGCACTCAGCAAACCAAAGTTCATCCGAGGAAGAGTTTATTAGAAAAGTCATACTG